GATTGGTCCTTATAAATATTTATAAACGAGATACGCGGTCTGTTGGGATAGTGCGATGTAAGGGCGACTTTCATACGGTTAACACTGCCTTGCGTCTGACATATCACCATATCCACTCTAAGTACAATGCATAAACATTAAACTGTTAATATAAATAAATAAGTAGTTTTTTGAAGTGGCGCCAGTCGTCGGTTGATTACCATGGTACTACTTTCTACTCCCGTCATAGCTATACAACTGTGGAATGTGACGTCGAAATAAAAAAGTATTTGGCGAGGATAAGCCATCCGTGAGGAACACCGATAAATGGTATTTTGAATATCAAACGTAGCTTATTTAGCTTAGAATACGATCCATGTTGAATTCGTAATCAAAACAGAACCTTAAAACGTTTCTAAAATGTTAACAATTATACAGGGTGTCCAATTTTTACCCATATATCAAAGTTGATTTTTCTTAAAAGGAATAGCATGCTTTACATATTCCTATGGGCCCTCTTAAAAGAACAACATTGATATAAGATGCTCATGGGTTTTGGTTATTAGTTGTTGAATTAATGGGTATTTGATATAAAAAACATCAAGGTCTGACGGCCTGCATATCCGCTGTGTTAATAGGTAGAGTCGTGGATTTTGTGACAAAATTTTTGTATTTTACTTAATTTTACCTTACTGTATCTTTTTTTTGAATTCCTTGAATGATCAAAAGCGCAGAAAGTATTTTTTATGAATAGGTATTAGAAATAAGTAGCAGAGAGGGAGAGAGAGAGAGAGAAAGTAAAAGAATAGAGTAGCTTAGAATATTCGATAAGAAAGTAGGACCCTTTAAATACTTAACTACGTACCCATATCTAGTTTCTGTCACCTTGAATACGTACTATGATAATGGAAAACAGCGGTTCATTCTATTTTTATGAAATAATTAATCAATTATTATTATGAGAGATATGTCTTCTACGATTAAATATGGTCAAAACAAGGACTTGTTTTATCCCCAGTTTCATTTTTAACTAAAATTTTATCCCTTTTTTATAAGCTATAGGATTAGCTGTCTTGTCTTAAGTCACTTTGCATCATAGTAAGCTTTAGTTGAGATTGCTTGAAATTTGGCATTTTTTACCAAAACAAGTTCAAATGGGGTATATTTGTTTCTGCATGGACAGTGCTATACGTGAAACACGTGAAGCACCAGTAGGGTGTTCAAGTGCTCCAAGAAGAATAATTATTATCTGCTTGGGTTCTAAGGTATGCGCCGAACTCTTTATGTGAATTCTCCAATGCGGCTAACTTTCGTGGTGATAAGCAGTAGATATGATCTGTTTCACTTTTGGTAATGAAGCGACTTCCGTCATGGTAGAAGGAATAAATTCAGTACATCTGTCAGCAGCAATGCTATACTTGGATTTTATATCATTTTGAAGAATATAATAACATAAAGTGCGATATAGTAGAAAAAAGTGGAAATACTCAAATAACTGATAATGGCTAACAAAGAATAACCGAGCAAATTGATTTGCTATTAAGAAAATATTAAATCATATTTATTATATAAAGGGGATGAAACATGCTGAAATTTTGAGTCTATGATAAATAACTCCCACTACTTTTGGATGAGCAAAGTGTTTCCTTAGATATCCAAAAATCACTGTTCAAATAGACTCTCGGCTCGCTGGTTTCCTCTCTGCAATCACCATCCAGATTGCCTGGAACAAGTTCATTGAGGTCTGCAATCACCAGGCGCGCAGTCTGCTGGGGGGCTATATGTCAGGGGAATTCATGACTATCTCTGACTTCAGCTTAATGGAACTGTTCAGTGCAATAGCAGCAACAGTTGTAATTGATGCACTCTACGTCAGCTGCGTCACCTTTGATATCGATTCCCTCATAGATATCAGGTTTAATGTCGACCTCATCATCTGATATACTCTTCTTTCACATCTACGTCGCTCGCTTGAGACATCTTGAGATGAATGTTCAACAGCGTCTTTCGAGGCAAAGTTTGTAATCTATATATGAAGACTTCAAGTAAATAATATGCTAAGTGCCAAAAAATCGGTTTTTTATTTTATACTTGTGAAATGTTCTAGGTGCCTTAACCAACAACACAGATAAAGCGCTAAGTGCCATGGCTGTTATATTGTACTGAAAAAATCCCAACAGATTGTCAATCGCCATAACACAGTCGGTAAAAAATGTGCTAAGGGCCAATAAATATAGCTTTGGAAAAAACGAAGATTTTGAATAAAAATGTTACTATTGAATCTATTGCAGAAATGACTCTTCCAAACCTGACCTGCCAAGATAGAATTTCTGAAGAAGAAAAACAAGATCTGCTGACAATGATTCCTTATTTGAAGGGAGAGAATAGACAATTTTATGAAGATCTATTAAATACCAATAATCATTAGAAGTTAAATGTTTTATGTTTTTTTATAATTATTTCGTTATTATTTACCACAATATTTATATTTTTGTAACTGCACTTCGCACATAATATTTATATTTTTGTAATCGCCGTTAGCACAATCTTTGATTTTGTAACTGTATATTTTTTCCTGCTATTTTTTACAAATAGTTTCCGAAAATATTAAGTACACAGAAAAATATTTACTTGAATAAACCTATGTTTAAATTTTCAGAGAGTACATTGATTCTAGAACAAAAAATATTGTTTATCTCGAATTAATAATTATTGCATTTAGCACATTAGTTACTTCAAGTCTTCATATGGTGTTAAGTTAGAAAATACCATCTCCATTACGATGAATGCTCCTTCCACGTTTACCTGGAATATCTTGAGACCATGAGGCGGATCTTCAACGATGTCCTTTGAGGTGTTGAGGTTGTTCATATTAAATCTGTAAATCCATATGGGCACAACATTTCACAATTCGCAGGATCGCCATGTAATAGATTTGTGAACTCTATGGGCTTTTACTATATTAATAAAACAACTTAATTCGTTTATGCTAGGTTGCCTACCGCAGAATTTTCCAATATCTAACATTTTCTCACACTGTAAAATAACAATATTTATACAGTATGTTCGTACCATACTACACTCCAGATACCATATATGGTAGTCCATAGACAGTTATCTTTGAGAACTTTTTGTTTAGGAGCAGCACGGTTAGGGCATCCTGTATAGATAGCAGAAACCTATTTGTATACCAAGTGTAAGCATACACAATATTTTAGACACTTGTCTGCATGTGAGACACCCTGTAAAAGGTTCACTTGACATTTGGAATGCTAAGAAAGGCACTGCTCTCATTTCAACAACCACTTACGACACTAGTAAATTTCACGCCTATTCGTGAAACCAAGGCACGTTAAGGCACAGGCCCTCTTAGTTTGTTTGAATAATTCTCTAACAGTTGAAAGGTCGAAGTATCTGTTTGTTGGGATTTTGTGAATAGTGCCCTTATCAAGCTCATGTCAAGGTTGGATCAATCAAACGGTGGGGATTTTCACTGGGTATCTTTTATTACTTTGCTGTTACTGCATGTCATGTGTATTTTCTAACCACGGTATAATCACGATAATGATTGTCATAAGTCAAAAATAGTGAGATCAGATATGTGTATCAACAGTTAAGATAAAGTTAGACGTAACTTAGAGTCAAACATCTACAGAGGTGTGACGCCACGAGCGGCCATTGGTCTGTGTGACCGCCTAGCTTCCTCTCGAGGCAGTCGCTGGAGTCTAAAAGTATCTCATGGCAGGATATGTATAGGGATTGTTACTGGAAGTTTTCATGCTGCTCGGTTATCTCTGAATCAGAGGTAACGTCGAAGCTTTTGGGTATTGACACGACAACGTGATCTCCTGGTTTCTGGGCCACTTTTCGTAACAATCAAAAACTTGGCATATCTGTCTAAGCACCAGATTATTAAGGAATCCATATCGGACGTAACTTCCATGAGGTAGGAAGCTACCGTTCCCCCGAGTTTGGACACGGGCGTGACTTTCATGCGGTAGGAAGCTACCTTTCTCCCGTGCAAGGTATTTCCATATCAAGCGTGCCTTCCATGCGGTAGAAAGCTACCGCTACCCTGTGCGAGGCACTTCCATATCAGGCGTGACTTCCATGAGGTAGGAAGCTACTGTTCCCTGGTTATGGACATGAGTGTGACTTCCATGCTGTAGGGTGCTACCGTTCCCCCATGAATGTATTGTAATTTTCTAATGATATGATTGAGAAATATCATGGTCATTATATAGTATTGTTTTACGATCAGTATCAAAACTGCTAATTAACATAATGAATAGACAGTAAAGTTGTACTTGGCATGAGTTGGTAGAATATGGAAGGTACTCAAAAGGTTTTCCTCAAAAATGGGCTTGGCCCCGACAACGCAGTTCTATCGACCGTATCTCCCGCCAAGGAAGAACAACACCCCTGTCGTTACGTCACCAAATAAGTGACTTTGATATTATCATGACATTGAAGCCCTTGCTAAGTTGTGTATGTACTACCCTGGTAATAAAAGTGAAAAGGTACAGGTTAGTACTTCGAACGCTTGTAAGGTGGGATTTTTTTTTCTCATTTTTATCATCATTTCCATAGTCGTATTTTATACCATCTTTCCTATACAAGTATTGAGCGAATTATATCCAATCATTTCAGTGGAGCTAACAAAGGATGACAAAGAGGACGTCGGTCCCAAAAATGCTGGAAAGATCTGAATCTGTAGAACATAGTGCTACATATTTAATCATCACAGTTGACGAAAGTTGACCATATTTTGTTGTTGTTCTAGACAGAGAACAAACCATTTAGGTATCATACCTCATATATAGAGAGAGAAAAGTTGCGAAAACGAAATTATGTGAGATGGAGTCAATGGTTAAGGCTAATTTTCCTGAGGCTATTGTTGAATGTATTACTTCAAAATATCCGAATATTCATTCGTGATTTAGGGTAACTATATCAGATAGTAACCTTAAAAATGCATTAAACATATCAATATGGCAAAAAAACGTGTATGAATCGTTTTTTGCAGAGAAGAACCGCTTTACCGACATCGACATAGCCTTCCAGCCTAATCTGTTACTGTTTAATGTTCATTGCTCAAATATTGACAAAGTCAATCAACTGCATGTTATGATATCTGGCTATACAGGAGTGGAGATCCTCTACATAACTGAAACTTGGGCTACAGCTGAATCAGTTAATAATTTCGTTATTGAGACTTTTCAGTTAGTTAGCTTATATTTTAGATCGTCGCACAAAGGCGGTGACTCAGCGACTTATTGCATAGATGATGTTACAAAACCTATTGACGTATCTAAGCTTTCACTGGATAAGAATATTGAGTTGTGCATCATTCAGTCTCAAATGATGGTATTCGTAGCATCATCATTTGGTGTTATAGATCTCCCTCGGGAGATATAAAAATATTCCATGACAATCTAAATAGGGCTTTAAATTTTGTTTTCAGACCAAACATAAATATAGTTCTCTGTAGCGAATTCAATGTAGATTCTTACAATCATAACATCGATAATGAGGCCCTATTGAATGCACTGTCTGAGTTTGACTTGCATCCACATGGAGGTTGGCCAACAAGGATTGGGTGCTCGTCTATCTCAACGACCAAGTTTTCACCAACTTCAATGATAGACGTTTGACCTGCGTTGTTGATAATGTCATATCTGACCATAGAACAGGACTTATAGAAGTCATGGAATATTCTCAAGCTGAGGACGCGGCAAAATAAACAGTTAAAAGGGTTTTTGATACTCGGTCTGTTCAAAACTTCGTTTCAGTCTTAATTAAGGAAAACTGGACGCAGGTTTATAGTTACCGGGATATAAATAACGCAGTTGAGTACTTCTTTCAAGTGTTCGACTATCACTTCCAAATACATTTTCCACTACGTAAATGTCTGAATATGAACAACAGCAAAAATTGGGTCGATGAAAATGTTAAGTTGTCGAGTTCATGCTTGCATGAACAGCATATGTTGTCAACAATTATCCCTGAATACAGACAACATTATCTAGATGCAAAAAAACAACACCAGAAGCTTGTCAGAAAAACAAAAGCAAAAAAATTATCAACAAAAAATATCTAATTCGCACAACGTGATAAAGGCTGGCTGGAATGTGAGTTTTGCTGACGATACGGCTATCATTATACGTGGGAGTCCTTGCAATCAAAAGTTGTAACCAGTATTCAAAAAGTCACTATGTGGTTCAATAATAGATGCCTAACAATCAACTCTGATAAAACTCACTTCATGCCTTTCACATCACGTGCAAGCGGACTGCCCAAATATACAGATATGCAGATAAATTACTCCACTAATCAAAATTTTACAATTGCAATGGTTCCCAATATAAAATATCTAGGTGTATACCTCGATTTTCACCTTAAATGGGATAAACAAACGGATTACGTCACAAAAAAGATTAGATATGTTCTGACAAAGTTTAAATATCTTTCAAGAATAATTAATATTGATCAATTGCGTACCTTGTATCATGCCCTTGTAGCCAGTCACATTCAGTACGGGATTGTAGTATGGAGCGCCGCTGCAAAGACATATGTTAATAAAGTAGAATTGGTACAAAAATGAATTTTAAAAATAATTTATAAAAGAAAGGTTACTTACCCAACAGAATCGCTTTACTCTAAAACACATGTACGGGATATCTGCCAGCAACTTTTTCTATCCCTTGTCATTTTCCAACATAAAAATAGAACAACTTTAATAAAATCACAACACAGCTACAACACAAGAAATAGATCCATCGTGATTCCTAAACTGCAAGAAAATACTTTACTCAGAAGTCATCTTTTTAAGCCCAAGTTGTTATGAAATAGCAGCTATAGTCAGAGATTCCAGTTCGTTAGGTATATTTAAAAGAAAACTAAATAAATGGTTGCATGAAACTCCTAGTGTGAAAATACATCAACTAGCTGATCTTTGTAATACTTACTATTACTGAAATGCGACATGTTCAAAAACATTTCTGTTATAAATATTGTTTTTAACATTTTAAGGTGTAAATTGAATGTTAAGTGTTATGGATTTTTATGACCAGAGTAGATATATGTATAGCTATAAACATTCCCCTGCACAGGGCTATGCCTTCTATGGGTTTTGTATTTGGTAATTTGCAATGTAATTCAGGGATAAGTCAATAGCTCATTTTATATAATTTTATAACCAAAATACGCATCTTTTATTTCGATTTTATAATTTAAATTGTTAATGAATGTATATATATATATAAGGTTATTGTTTGAACTCCTTTTGTAGATAAGTAAGGACAGCACATGCTTAGATGCCGCCACGAGGTAAAGGATGGGCGATATAAATACAGGGTTTATGGAAATAACAGTCCGTGCTGGTCAACCACTCGATTTTTTTTTGTACCGTCATGTAACAGAATATGTAGACAGAAAATAGTTGGCTGGAGTATCAACACCCCAAAGGTCATGTTCTTTCTTAGCTCCTAGATCGTTCAACATAACTTGAATGAATTTAAAAAATAACTAAAGAAGTAGCTCCTGTCTATACCTCGAACAGAGATACGTCAGGAAACTGATTTGAAATGTCATTTTATGCATGGTTTGTTCTTGTAATTGTGATTGTGTACTAAAAATTGTAATTGCATTACCTGGATGTGACATCTTACCTGGTTGTGACTCTTTCACCAAAATGTGACAGCTGTTTACCATACGTGGATAATTTATATTCTGGATGTGATATGTTAAATTAATAAGTTTTATTCTTATATTTAATTCTACTCACCCACGTACAAGGAGTATTCCTGTGGGACTCTCATTTATTCGCTTATTTCAAAAAAAATGTGGTTTCAGACATAAACGGAAGAAATAGAGTATCAAAGAACATTGTACCTACTATATGATAACAACTATTTTAAACAGGTTCCTTTGGATATTATACAAAAAATATGTTTTTATACCCGTTCTTGGAAGAGGGATTCTATAAACTAATTAATGATAAGTTGAAAAACAAGCGTTCTTCAGGCACCGATGAAGTTCCGAATTTCTTAGTCAAGAAGATTTCATTATACATAACCAAACCTTTTGTTTTTCTACTTAATCTATCATTCTGCACTGGTGTATTTCCAAACAACCTAAAAACAAGAAATTTAACTCCAATTCATAAGAAAGGAGATACTTTTTTGGTCAGCCATTACAGACCGGTGCTGTTCTTGAAAAGCAGTGACATTCATTCATCCAATCAACATGGTCTCCGTATTGAAAAGTCAACCATGACGGCATGTCATTCATTTTTCAACACGTTAGTCAACTGTATTGAGGCAGGAGAATGCCCTGTTAAGATATTTTGTGACCTCAGTAGGCAGTTCGATTGTGTTAGTCATGACATAGTATTAGCCAAACTAACGGACTATGGAATTGGTGGTTCAGCCTATCTGTGTATAAAATCGTACTTACAGAATAGGTCACAATACGTGGCAATAACATACAACAACGCTGGTCAACTGAAGCAGGTCAAATCGAGTATGGTTAACATAGGTACAGGCGTACCACTAGGACCTATATTGGGGCCAGTGCTGTTCTCCATTTATATAAATAACCTGGATCAATGCTTCTCTGAAGCACACTTCGCGTTGTATGCGGACGTTGCCTTCATCATTATATCAAACAAAGACGAGTCTGGTTTAAGACCTTAGTGTACAACATTAATAGCTGGTTTGGAGAAATTCAGTAACTTCTTAGTAGCAATAAGACCACAGTTAGCGTTCAGAAGTCGATACCACCGATTCAGCTTGTTCTAAACGGTTCAACACTGCAGAGTGATAAAAGCGCTAAGTTTTTAGGGCTCCACTTAGACCAATGTCTCAACTTTAAAGGACATTGCAATTATCTGTCATCAAAACTGGATTCATAAGCATACTTATTTAAGAACCTGAGGTCTGTTTTCACAGAGGATCTGCTATTGCTATTGTATCATGGTCAGGTTGAGTCTCGCATGCCATATGCTTTGCGTGTCTGGGGTTCAGCGGTGAACGCTCCTACGGTGTTCTTAAGTAAAAAACGGCAGAGAATTATTCAAGAGATTGAAAATAATTACTCTGCCTTTTCTCTACAATACTTTTTTAAACAAAGACGATTTCACCTTGAATACTAATATATACATATATCAAATGGGCACTCGCAGACAAAACTGCATCCATTTACCTTTTGCGCGTTACAAGTTAGGCAGCAGTTCACCATGTATTTTAGGACCAAGCATTTTTAACAACCTGCCTGACTCCATAAAAAGGATCACCTCAATAGGCCAAATCAAATCTGAGCTGGAAAGCTACTTTATAGGTAATTTGTTTGTTTTTTTATTTATTTACTTTGTACATATTTACTTATTGTATTTTTGACGAAACCTATACACGTTCATGCATATGGTAAGGAAAATAAACTTATTACTATTACTATTATTATTATTATTATTATTATTATTATTATTATTATTATTATTATTATTATTATACAGTAAGGAAAACTATAACTATATCTGCAAAAAGTGTCAATATCCTTCACTCCAAAAAGTATAAGTGTGTTCGATGAATTTTCTGCTTTGTGTCAAAGAAATCGGTTAATTTTAAATTGTGATAAAACTGTTGTTATCAATTTAGGTACCATACCTCAGATAGAGAATAGTTGCGATGCTTTCGTCCATTGTCCTACCAACTATAGCACGAAACAGCTGTCTACAAGCTGTTCAATGGCCAATAGACTACCCTCACTGTACTGTGACGTTTGCAATCAATGTGACCATCAAACTCGATCTTTCGATCTTTACACACTCACAGAGGATGTGTGTGCCAAATAATGATTCAAATATGAATCCGGTATCCTATAATTAAATCGTTTCTTAACACAAATGGCCATATCCAAGCCAAATTACCCTATTTGCATTGCCCTTAATTTCAAAATCGGTCATCTTCAATGCTGCCTCGCGTTCAAAGCCGGCCATCTCCTACCGCCAACAGGAATCCGCAATTTTGTTATTCGCGCATGCGCATATTATACACATCGCCGTCTTGACATGTGACGACGTGTTTTGAGTCATTTAGCTTTGGATTAATTTCACACCCTATCGATTAGTTCGATGACAATGTTAAAAGTTAATGTCTCGGGAAAAGTTTCAAAAAATTTATATGAAACTTCCAAAAATACTGTTACTGCGGCTTCTGGGACCTCCAGATACGATGAAGATAGTAACCACCATGGAGGCAACATCGGTAGAGAACATAAAACCTATATCAAAACCATCATTGAATCGCTGAAGTATTAATGGTAACGCTATCCAACAAGTAAGACATGAGGAGGCTTCATTCGACCAGATAAAAGAAAGGATGCGAGGCCCCCAGAGGTTACCTCAACTTCTGATGTAGAAATTAGAAATAAATTTGGTATTTTGACAAATGTCAGGACAGGTCAAATTTCTCAAAATTTAAGTGTAATTTTACAGAAAAAGAAATCTAGGATTCCACCCATTGTTGTCACTGGACATATCAGCAACTACAAAAAATTCAGTGAAAAAATCAAATCACTTTTGAAAAACGAAAATTTTACCAGACAGTTCAACCGGAAAAGCACAAACATTATGGTTTCAAGCGAAAAATATTAT